ATTTAAGCAGCTATTATGTGTCGGGAACTCTGCGAGGTGCCTTACCCGAATAGCTCATGAATTCTCCAGAATAGTCCTACAAGGAAGGTGCTAGTGCCGTCCCCGTCTTAGAGACAAGGAAGCTGAGGCTTGGGGAGCAGGGTTGAGGCCAGGGCCATATCCTTAACTGCTACACCGATCCTGATTGCTCTGCCTTTGATGGGAGGACTAGTCCTGGTTATCCTGCTGGCGCCTGGGCATGATGGGTCCCCATGGATTTTGTGAGGGCCTTAGGATTTGGGGGGGGGGGGGGTTGTTACTGCTTAAGAAGGGCAGTGCGTTTGGAAGGCAAAGTCTTGCAGAACTTGGTATCCTTTGGAGGAAAATGTTAGTAAAGAAGAGCTTGGAGCCCAGGTTGGGAATCACTCCAGGCTTCTTCATGTACCCTTTTCCCCTGTTAGGCTGTGGGGGCCTGAGAGCAAGCCCTTTATCCTGTTCCCTGCCAGGTCCCCAGCACTAACTTAGGGCAAGTGCCCAGTAAACAACTATTAAATAAATGAAGGAAGGAAACAACCCAAGGCACCCAAATGGCCATCGTCTTAAAGAAAAGCAAATGCTGTCCCAGTGGTTAGAGTGGGGTCAGCCCCTGAGATGGGGGAGGTGGATGGTTGGGCTTGGGGGTGCTGGGCAAGGCGGGGAATGCTCACCAGAGCTCTGCCCTGGATGCCAGCCATTCATCGACAGCCAGCATGTCATCCACAAGTATTTCCTGCCCCGAGCCTATGCTGTTGCCATCCCACTAGCTGCTGGCCTCCTGCTGCTCCTGTTTGTGGGTAAGTCATCATTCCCGTGAAAAGGGCATTTGGCGGGGCGCCCCATGATCCTCTCCCACCCCTGACCTTGCTGGACATCTACTTAAGGCTCCTTGCCTTCACTTCACCCTGGGGGTTTTCCTGTCCATCCCACAGGGCTACAGTCTTCCAGATGCCTGGGGCTCACTGTACTCTGTTGGGTGTCTCCCCTTTTCCTGCTCCCTCTACTACCACCATCATTGCACTCTCACCCCCTTGTCACTCTGGCGCATGATTCCTGCACCTCTCTTGTCTCCCCTGGTTTAGAGTGTGGGCGTGCTAGGACTGTGTCTTCATTATTACTGTGTCCTCAGCTCCTACATAGGCCATGGCACTAAGCTGGTGCTCAAGAAAGTGGTTTGGATGGGTCAACAATCAGATGACTGGATGATGGAGTGGGTGGGTGAGTGGAAGCTGGATGTTGAGTGGGCAGGTGGGAAATAGGTAGGTAGGTGGACAGGTGGTCGCTGGTGAGAGGGAGAGTTGGGCGGATCTTGTATCCTGTAGAATCTGAAACACTAAACGCAGCCAATGGCTGGTGGTAAGCACTCATGTTTGTTGAATGAATGTGGGCGGATGTGTGGTTTGATGGATGACTAGGGAGATGACCAGGTGGCCTGGAGGGTGGTTGGGGAGGTTCTTGACCCCATGTATGGGTCACTCTGCCACGCTGTGCCCTGGATCTTACCTGGCCTTTCTGATCTGTATATTCCAGGGCTGTTCATCACCTATGTGATGCTGAAGAACCAGAAGGTGACCAAAAAGGCTCAGTGAGGGCCCGGCGAGGATGCGGCGGCCTCCCCTCTGGTGCATACCAAGGGCGGGGCCACACAGGACCTGTGCAGGCACTGCAGCCCCTCAAGCATGGCTGCCCTGCAGACACCCCTGGGGATGGAGCTGTTCAGGACTCACCCCTGACTGACCAGAACCCCCACTTCTCTTCTGCTCACTCTTCCAGAGCCAGGAGGAAGTACCTGGAAACTCCCTCTCTCCCCATTCTGCCTCAGGGCCTGAGAGATACTGCTCCTCCCTACCTCACTTTCAGACCCCCTGTCAATTTCTTCTGGGTTCCACCCTCTTGCCTCAGTTTCCCTCTTGTCACAGGCTCATGTTGGAATTGGCACGTTTTAAGGCATCATGTGGCCTCTCCCGCCACATGTCCTTTTTCTCCGCGAAGGCAGCTTTCTGGGGTCTGACACAGCCAGGGACTCCCCAGGACTTCTTGACCTGGAAACTTAGGGGGAAGACCAACAGGCCTTGGGACCACCGGGCACACTGGGCCCCCAGATCTTCTCGTAGGGTCCCAGCCCCTCAGCCCTAGCCCTGGCCCACTGGGGAGAACTGAACAATAAACGTTGATGGTGTGTTTTTCTCTGTGCCATCCCTGACCAGGGGAGCTGGGCTCTGGGGGCTGGAGAGGGGCTGGGAGCTGGTCACTGCATTGGTCTCGGGTCAGGAGACCCTGGTTTGTGCAATGAGTACCTCAGTGCCTCCTGGATCATCCCTGTGCTGGACACACGGTAAAGCTGGAACTGGGACAGGTGTGGTTCCAACCCCTGCAGCTCGCGGCTGGGGAGTCGTGGAGGCATGGCAACCTGCCAGACCCCACAGCAGCCTTTAGCATACCTCCCCTGTGTCAGCCCAGCCAGCAGACACTAGTATTTTAGGGACCCTCAGCCCAGTCCCCTAGAAGCCCAAACCTGTTGTCCATCTCTTGTACCAGCAGCCCAACATAGTATAGCGCTGAGCCAGAGTAGAGCTAGTTCCACTGTGTTCAGGTTGATTAATCTGGCACAGGCCCTGCCCTGGCTCCCCAGCAATCCCTCTGGACAGCCAGGTCTCCCAGTCACAGTGCCTAATGCAAGCCTCCATTCATCACACTTTGAACGTTCACTCTTCCTCCAGTTAGTGGTGGTGTCATTTTCAGAAAAAGACCAGCTGTAGGCTCACCTGTCCTGCCCTCTCCTTTCTTCCAGACCAGGAAGAACTGCTCACCTGGCCCCTGTGTATTGCACATGCACCAGCCACCCACCTAATGTAACCATCCAATGTCGTGGCACCTCAAATCCATCCTGTCATCTGAATTCTCAGACACCCCACCCCCAATCTGCCCCCCGCCCATGCCCTGCTCCCTCTCATGACTGTCATTATCCTGTGTCCCTGACCCCAGCCAGAAGCCTTGGCTTTCCTCCCCGCCTCCATCCACAAGAGCCCAAATCCTGTCAATTCTAATACACACCCAGCCACCTTCTGGGTGCAAAGCCACCACTGCCCTAAATCACGGAGGGCTTCCTTGTCCTCTCTGCCCCCCCCCCCCCCCC